TGAGTCATCTCGGACACCTACTATAGCAGGGACTACCACAGAGTTGTTTTTGAGTACTTTGGAATGTGTTAGGTTGTCTGTCTGTGGACAGATTTGGTCATCGTGATAGCGTCTGAACTGAAGATGTAGTGCAAAACTTTACAGGTGTGTAGTTCGATTTTTTTTTTTTTATGTTCCAAGAAGGGTGTGGCCTGAGAAAGGGCGCTGGATGTAGGGTGGTAGGAAGATTTTTTACATCATTAATATTATTAATATTAAACTGTAACAATTATGTATTGAATGTCTATTGTTATTCTCTTATTTGTTGGGAATTAAATGCATTGGGTTGTATTACCTTTTGTAAATAAACGGTAACATTCTGGCATATACCGTAAAATCACAGTAAAACCCAGTTATCCTACTATCACATACGGTAAAATACCGTAAAAGTAAATTATGGTAGCTTCACCGTAAAAAAACAGTAAATTATTGGCATCTCTGCTGCCAGTAAGTTACCGTTATTTTACGGTGAAATTGTTTCAAGTGTACCCTTCCATGATAACGTTATCATTAAACCATTTAAAGCACATTGGTTATTACAAAGCTGTGATTGTGGTTAATATTCTGCAAATGTTTGGGGGCTTAAGCCTCATAAGTTCGGCCCTCCGGCCCCTGGATGCCTGAAATCAATATTGGATGTTCAATTTTCCCCCTGTTTCCTTCTGAGCAAATTGGTAGCCAGGTGCCAGGCAGAACTTGGCAGATGCTGGAGTCAAATATATGACTGTCGGACAAGCGCAGTCACAACTCATCACTTTTCACTTCTCTGGGAGAGACAGGTCATCCTGTGGTTATGACACAAACATGAATCCTCCTAACTCGAATGAAGCCATCCCAAAGCGCATCGCCCTGACGGCGGAAAAGTGCTCTGAAACGGATACCAATGCTTCGATCCACGGAGGTTGTTTTTACTTTCCTCCCCCACAACAGAGGCCAGAGAAATATCTTAAGGAAACAAGGCTGCGCAACAAAAACAAAGAAATTATTTGAACAGCATATAAAAGCACTGTACTTCACAGGCAAAAGCACACTCACCCACAGCGAAGCCGGGTGACTTTGCATCGATGCAGTCTGCATTTTTAAAACAATCTCCACGAGCTGTCTGCCTGTCTGAGCATTTGCAGATAATTGGCATATCAAAACAAAAGTGCAGCCGACGGTTCATCCATCCTACATGTCTTCAACGCTTGGCCTAATGCATTTTTTTTGTCCACACCCTCATATTGGAGTGCTCTGCCAGAGGGGATTGGCTGCCTGCGTGGTGCCTTGTCCGTCAATTGATCAGGGGCCCGACTCCGGCTTAGTGCGCCCTCGCTGGAAACCTCAAATGAGGCACGGCACAAACGCATTCATCTTCATCAGAAGAGCACGGGGATAGAGTATCGGGGAGTTTTTTGTGCAGCAGACGCAGGGAGGTGATCGCTATCGCACAATATCTGTGTCCACAATGGAGCTACATTGTAGGCCCTCTCGCCCATACCTAATTAAGTGTTTGCTGCTAAGATGTGCCCACCATGTTTTGCCATTTGCACTTAATTTTAGTATTTTCAGTTGTGTTTTGAATACATTGCGATTATGAAAACTCGACTCCATCGAGTCGAATCCCTCTTTTCTGCTGCATCTCTTTGATAAATCACCACTCCTCGACAAGTCTTACAGACCGCGGTTAAAAACACATTGGACCTTTACGTTTCTGGCCTATGTTGAAATTGGAGGCGTTTGCACGTTGTGTACCGGTCAATACCAAGAAATAAAACAGCCCCGGCAGATGGAGAAGCCTGGATTTATTCTGGCCAGTGTAATTTATTAAACTGTTGCCCATGCCCATTTATCATAATCAACCAAAGGGCAGCAGGGCCAAAAGAGCTATTTAGAGCACCGCAGAGTTATGCCACTGCTGAGTCTGTTATAAGTTTGAGGAAGATTATATAAGGCAAGATTGGACCTCGGGGTACCGTTTGTGTTGGCACGCTATGCATCATTCATTACTTGAGACCTATAGCTTACAAAATTCATCCACAGGTTTACGTCGAAAGTAGACGGTGAATGATGAAAATGAATTTGGCGCGGGCGAGCTTTGAGGTAGCATGGCATCCAGCCGGCCAGATGTGGAGAACATATGGAGGTTTAATACTGATTTTTGAGTAACTGGGTGTAGAAACAAAAAAAGCTGCTTTGCGAGCCACTGAACATTTCAGTTGCACGTCATTTTCCGTAACAATATTCTGCGGGCGCTATATAATTGGCAACTTCTTGCTCTGGGCAGACTTTGGATCCCTACACTATTGATTACAAGTAACACCAGATGCCAGAGTTGGATGAGCGATGAGTGGCGAAAGGATGGGGCTGATGAGTGCGCCATGAGGGGGTTGTTTGTCTTTTGGCCAGGGAGTAGTGTCAAGACTCTCAAAACCTCCAAAAATCCATCAGAAGCTTGCCGCCCGAACAGACTACATGTTCATTAAAGCACATCAGACCTGCGAGCGCCTTCACATCAGAGGTGCTGCTTGATACTTGAATCGATGCAATTATTAAACACTTCTCAATGGCTCTTACGTTGAGAGCCGGTCATAATGAAATGCTTTGATGAACAGCATGCAGATGACACGTTGTTTTATTCATAAGAAAAAAAAAGGTCAATCATTTGTTAATAATACCTTATGAAAGTCACACTCAGGAGCGCATGCACGGATTTCAAGGCCGTTGATTTCCAGCTTATTTTCCAGGCATGTCGGCCGAATACCGCACGCAGCCAACGGCCCCCGCAGTCCCAGCCGCTGCTGTGCTGGTGCCTCTTTAGATCTTCAGTACTTGGGCGATGTTTTGCTCCACTTACACGAGGCAGCTTTGTGAATCTAAAAAGGCTCCACAATGAAAACTCGTGCTGCAGTGGGTAGCAAAGCCTTTCCTCTGGGTCTGCATTAGTGTTCTTGGACTTGTACCTGGAGTCCCCCGCAGCCAAGAGGAGCCCCAGAGAAGTTTTTTTTGTTTTCTCTTTTCTTCTTTTGTCGCCTAACAGCCAGCAGAGGGGGGTGTGCTCCAGTCAGCAGGAGCATGTGAGTGTCAGCTGGTGGTTTTTTTTCACAGCAGCCACACCTTGGAATGAGATCGCTTACTGACAAAACCACAAAAGACATTAATTTCAACGTAAACATTGATTACATTTGCAACATATATATTACTTGTATAGAGAAATACACAAATACCTGTTGTCTCAACATGAAACACACCACTTCTACTTGTGTTTATAATAAGGATAATTCAATATTACATCACAGTCATTGAGCAGACGCTTTTATCCAAAGTGACTTACAATTCACATTCTATAGACCGTAGGCATAGTCTTGCTCAAGGACACATCTAGATGCAACTAGCAGAGCCGGGGATCGAACTGCTGATTCTCTGATTGAAGGACGGCACTGCTCTCCACTTAGCCACAGTCGCTCACATTAACTCTGATTAACTTTAAAAAGCTCATGATAGAGATGAGCACGCCTGGCAGCTTGAGGCTAAAATTAGTCCTCGCCAGTATCTGCAATAGACTTTCCCAAAGTGTTCTACATTTTTTTTTTTTTTACTTGTAGGCCTACTAGCTGTCACTTAGGAAACAAAACTGGAAAAACACACTACCTCTGTAGATCCAAGTGAACCGTCTCCTTCCTGCGCAGTGTAAAGGGCTAATATTTAGAGGGGGGGGTTAAATGAAAAAAAAACAGGACAAAGAAAGCCCTGCAGGGCTTTATGAAATAGTCGGAGATGAATTATGCACATCCACTGGCTTTTGATATCCATCCCACAGGGCTTTTTCTCTTTTCATTAAAGCTCCTATTTTTTCAAACTATTTTTTTTTTTTTTTAGAGAAATGGCGAAATCCTTCAGTTCAAATCAGTGCAAGATTAAACAGCGTATTGTGTGTGTGGTTTTTTTTTCTGAGGCTGATGTCCGTTCACTAGCCGGGGGGCTGAACATCAGTCTAATTTGGTAAGGCCAATGTGTTGAAGTGGCACTTTTGATATTATCACATTGAAAAAAAGACACACGGGACCTCGAATCCATGCAATCCGATTGTAAACTGTAGAGTGTCTGACCACCTGGGACGGTTGTCTGATGCGTAAAACAACCCGGTTGTATTGATGTTAAGCTAAACCCGCCTGCGTCATTGTTAAACGCTGGCAGCAACTGACATACTACAAAGAGCCAGATAGTCCATACAGGCCGGGGGGATGGGTCAAACCAGTGCAAAAATAGAACTTATAGTACATTTAAGTCGCGTAACTAAGGACACTTGTTTGTCATTTGTGACAAACTTCCTGTGAAGATGGACGTTTAAAAAAAAAAAAGACACTATGCATGTCCAACATCCTTAACTGACGCTATAGGGGTACCCAGATCATCATAGTTTGAAGCGTAGGTGTGACGAGTTGGGAGTGGGACCATGTTGCGTAAATCTCGTAGTGGGGGACTCTTGTGTCTCGGTCTCAAATCCAAACCGGCTGGACTGGAACAAATGAACGTGAATAGTCTGGCAAATTCACTCCGATGATTGAACATAAGTGGCTTTAAATAAATTATCTAAATATATCCAATCATCAAACATTAAAAATAAGTCCACGCACGCATGTTTGAGGACTAATACTTTGTGTCTCTATGGTCCAACCATAACTTCCTGATGAAATTAGAAACCGTCTCACTTAAATGCTCAATGCAGCAGCAGTTGAAACAGTCCTCAATTGAGACGTCATTGCCCAATCAAGTGTTTTTAAAAGTCCTTCTTTGGACACAGACATTCTCAAACGCACAGTGGCACTGCTTTCTCAATCATAATAAACAACTAACTCATAATGAATTAATGGTGTTGGACTTCAATGGACCGGCGATGTCTTCGTCTCACATCTCTCACAAAAGCAGATATCCAGCTCCGGTTGCATCCATTACAGCCGTGCACGTGACACCTTGTGCACCGAGAAAAAAGAAAAGACGCCGGGTTGTAATAACGATGGGACGCGGGTGCTCATCCATATTAGAAGAGTATTTAATGAACTCAGACCGTGGAGAAGACACTCCTTCTGCTCCCGGCACTCCGCTTTAGCTCCCGTACTGAGTCTATGTGCGGGAGGGGGGTGCGCACATATCTTTTTACCAGCGTCGCCTCGAAGACACAAAAGACGGCGCTGCAAACGGAGATGTGCTCTGATAGCGGGAGAAGCCAGTCTTGAAGTCGTTGTTTCCGCAGCCGTGCCCGCCCGCGCCCGCGAGGCAGACAGGCACCGACCGGTCCTATGGGAGACTCCGCGGGGATGCGCACGGAGTGAAAAAAAAAAGAAAGGCGAGCGGCATTGTGATTGATCTACCGAGAGAAAAAAAGCATAGGGTCTCGCGCGGCGAGTCATGTTTGCTCCGGTCGGAGCATCGACGCGGCGGCATCAAAGTTGAAGGAGACGTACGTTGTTTTGTTTTATTCACCGGGGCTGCACAGTCGCGACGCGTTCACACCAGCGCCGACCTTTAACTTGCAACACCCGCCCCTCTCCTAAAAAAAAATAAAAAAGAGGCGGACGCGCTGTCCGCGGTGCTGAAACAGAGCGACTTGGCCCATCAAATATATAGTGCGGGAGAGGAAGACGCTCTCACTTCGCACACCTGCTTTCCGGAGCTTCGTGGGTTTTATCCGGCAGCTTCAGCGAGGTGAGTCCGACATGATGCGTTTGCTTCGCTATTTCAGTCTTGTCTCTCCGAGATATCGTGTTACAGCCTTTTAAAAAAAGACTCCACTCTTATCTGCTCGGGTGTATTTGTGTACTGCCTTTGAATGCCTGCATGTGTTTTATTTTGAAAGTTTGATCATATAGATTATAGCCACACAGATACGGTATCAGTCACTGTTGGGCTTGTTAATGCTACAGTAAAAGTAGTGCTAAAGTACCCCCAGATGTCACAGAGTGCCTGTTGATTTCTCTCTTGCCATTAAGTATTTTACTTTGCAAAATTTTCTTTTGGTGTCCATTCCGGTTTTTACTTCCTGCTTTCGAACCTTTTCACACTAAAGTTTTGGAATAAATACGCTGCTCCTCTTCTCCCTATTTTACTTATTGATGCTGTGCATCACATTTACTTCAAACACCAGGCCATGGGGGCCATTGCACAATGGAGCATGTTATTGCCTGTGTACACTGACTGTTGTTGCAGTGAGTTTTCTGCGGCTGTTAAATCTGTTTCGCTCTCACACACACACACACACACACACACACACAACCATCAAGATGTGACAAAAGGGCAGATTCTGGTTTAACGTCGCTGTGTGCATCACATGGCCCGTTATGTGTGTGTGTGTGTGTGTGTGTGTGTGTGTGTGTGTGTGTGTGTGTGTGTGTTTACATTGTGTTGTGCACAGTAAAGAACTCCCAGCAGTGAGTACTGAGGGAGCCAGCGGTTCGTGTCTCTCACTTTGCCGCCTGCTGGTACCTCATAACTTCTCCATGGCACAGCTCCTCCGCTATAGTGGATCCGAAAAATCTATTCACGTTTCGTGTCTTTTAAAAAAAAAAACAGCAATTTTGTAACTGATGACGAAGCTCAGTGACCATTCCACTGTGTTTAATGGCTTCTTATTCTAGTTCTGTTAAGGAAAGATCAGGGCGGAGTCCGTGTGTTCTGTTGTTTGGCGATGTGTCACAAAGGATTGGTGTGTTTCGCTATAGACTAAAATAAGGCCACTGCACGCTAGCCGGCCTCAGGCAGGCATTTTGGGTTATGCCACTTTAAAGCTGCGACTGATTTTCGCTCTCGCGTCTCCAACACGACCTTAAGCTTCGTAGTTACTTTAAAAAACTCTGGATGCTTCCAGGGTGTTGTCTAAAGTAATCTGAATACAAACTGCCAGGGGCCCAAATCCAATGAAATGTAGCTAAATGAGTATCCAATGAGACGGTTTGGAGTGCTACTATGAGCCACTAAACAGTGTTGTAGTACCTCGAGATCGGGCTTTTTGAAGGTCCTGGTTTCGTCTCGGACAAAGACGACTCAGGATTTTAATTCAAGACCGGTCAAGACCACAACTGTGGCGAAATCACTGAATTTCCTGTGCATCATTACTGTGATTGCTCATAGACCAGAAAGGGAAATCCCCACAACAAGAAAATTCACCTCTAGAATGGCTTTTGATGATTTTATCAAGACATTTCATATACAGTAAATATGACAATTAAAGATGCGAATGATCAGGAACATTCATTTGTTTCCCGCGAGTGTTTTTATGGGAATGTTGATCTTTCAGATCAATTCGAGGAGTGCCTATTGTTTGCACGCTCCACACTTCCTGTCCTCAGTGTGTCATACAGTGCGGGAATCGCAATGGTCTGGGTCATCTTGATACACTCTGGTGTCGGCGGTCTGGACTACAACACAGCCCTACTTGTTTTCCTTGTGCTTTTTCCAAACTGCTATACACGCATGTTGGTGGTCTGTTAATAAAGAACAGATTGTTTAGATCTCAGACGGTGTTGTAATTGCAAGTACTTGCTTTAATTCACCACCCATGTCGAGCTGAGAGGGAGTCATCAAAGCAGAACAAGGCCTCCGTTAAAGGTGGGACACTTGTGATTCCTTTCAATAGGCACGACTTCATCTCAAAAGGCACGTTTTCTCTGGTCTTTTGTATTGAAATCGCTGTGGTATTCAGTCAATGAAGTCTGTCAGCACCAAACTCTGTGGGAGCCTGAAGAGCCTGTCGCTATAAAAGACCTGTTTGCCCATTGGTGGCTCAAATCCATCCTCGTCTTTGTCAGCTTATATTAAAGGATGAAATAAATAAATATATATATATAGAGAGAGAGAGTTAGAGGATCTAACAATATTGCATGCAGCACTCTTGAAAAGATTTTGCTGGTATGTGTAAATCTATAACCCGAACCCAAGGACAGACAAGAAAATCCTGCCAGTGTCCATTGCATCATTTAACGCGAGTGTTGCATGCCTGTGCTAGAGGAGACGGGATCTTCTCCCTTAATCCAGCCAAACTTTGTAATTCACGCAGAATAAAGGTGTATTTTATTTTATTTACCCGGAAAGCTTGTTTGAGGTACTTGACCCGTGTGCCAGATTTCGATATCCGCCCCTCACACGCAAAGACAAACCCTCCGCGAGATCATCAAATGAAGCTGTTATTGCTAAGTGAGGTTGCTCAGTGGCTTTTAATCAATTTATCGTGCCGTCTTCCTCTGTCCAAGAGGGACGGGGGAGGCGCAGGTGCCATCGAAGCACAATGGGGGGGGGGGCACACAGCGGAGCTTTGACGTGTACAAATTGTGCTTGAAGATGCCGCGCAGCGTCCCGAGGAGGCTCAAGAAGCTGGCGGGGGGAACCAGCGGAGCGCGGGGGACATTGCACTCCAGATGGCCCTGGGAGGCCAGAGGAAGAGAGCCGGCCAAGCCCAGCTGGGAGTGAGGGAAGCTGGACTGCCGGTGTGTGTGTATGAGTGTGTGTGTGTGTGTGTGTGTGTGTGTGTACGTGATTGTGGGAGGGAGGCGGGATGAGAGAAAACAGGAGAGAGACAGAGAAAAGAGGTATGTCTGTGCGTGCTGAAGGAGGGATTGGGAGAGAACATGAGAGCGAATGAAACAGGCGCCTCTGTGTGTGTGTGCGTGTGCATGGAAGTAGTGAAAGGGAAAGTGTGGGAGGGAGAAGAAATAAAAGAGAAGATGAAGGAGCCTGTGTGCTTGTGTGTGTGTGTGTGTGTGTGTGTGTGTGTGTGTGTGTGTGTGTGTGATTGCAGAGAAAGCATTACTGGGAAAGAAAAGGCAGGAGGGACCAAAAAAGGGGAAGAGAAAAAAAAGGTAACGAGTGTGTGTGTCCCTGGAAATGGTAGTGTATGAGGGATGGGAGAAAAAATGAAATGAAAGAAACCGGTAGGGTGGGATGCTTGTGTGTGTGCGTGTGTGTGCGTGTGTGTGCGTGTGTGTGCGTGTGTGAGCGGGGTGCACACATGTGTGGTCTTATTGCTGACAGTGGTATTCGCTGATAGCATTAAGGAGCAAATTAAAGCTGCACAGGAAAAAATAACATGTAGAAAACAAGTAAAATGGGGTACTAACTGAAAGAGAAATAGTGGTGCGATGTACTCACGTGCTCGACGGAGTATACGCGCTTTAATGGCGCACCGTTTCGGGGGCGCGCGGCCTCCCGCCGCAAGCTCGGATACTCACTCCCCGCTCCGATTGAGAAGACATGCGTCGTATGTGGGACACTTTTTCTAGTCTTTTTGTAGATGACGTTCTCCTACTAAAAAAGTGAAGCCACCTGAGAACGAGTACCGAGCTCGCGGCGGCTTCACAGAGATGACTGACGCCTCGACGTTTCCGTTTGAGGGAAGGCCGCTGGAGAGACGCCGGAGATAGGGAAGCGCGCTTGTTTCATTCCGCCACGTCTGCTCTCTGATGGAATGGAGCATGATCTGCACTTTGATCACGATGAATTATTCCTATCCCAAGCTATAAATATGGTCTGTCTTCAGCACACAATCTCTCTCTCTCTCTCTCTACTTAAACCAGGAATCTGTGCTGGCCTCAGAGTAGCATTCTCCTGAGTGTGTCACTGTGGGCACACTAGTGCTGCTGCTCCGGTTGTCTTCCTCACACTGTGAAGGAACAAGAAGTCCTACCTTTCCCCCATTTACAACAAATCCCATGAACAGAGGAGAAGGTGTACATCTCTGGCATCTTCATTGAGAATGCGTTGATCAACATAAAAACATGCACAACTGAACAACCATGTTCGTGATACGTCTGCTTCCACGGTAACTGGCTGTTGCCATTCCATTCTGTTGTAGTCCAGCGCCAGTTATCGTTCACAGAACCATTGTGTAATGTGTGACCCGTCCGGTGGATCGCAATTACATTTTAATGTTAAAGCATTTTGACACAACACAACACTTTGGGGTAAGCAACAACGTTGGATTTAGCTGATACAGAAGTTGTTCGAGTGAAGTTTTGAAGTTCTTGGAGGGCATTATTGGGGGTGGTTGTAGAGAAGCTGAGTGTACTGGTTGTATTATGCATGCAGAGTGTGGAGGAGTTCATAGTGCACAACAGTCATCCGGACAAATGAATAAAAAGACTCCCTGATTGTTGTAACTTTAAATGTGAGTATTTGTGGGCTGCAGCTAAACTTTTTATTTGTTGGCCATTTTTGTATCATTGTCTGTGTTTTGTCCTCTTGTCAGGTTAGTTCTATCATAAGCAGTTGAAGCACTGGCTAAATGTATTTATTGCTGCGTGATGTTGGTCCATGTGTATTTATTTATTGACAATAAATGCAATTTTTGCAATGTAACACAGTACATTTAAGGTGACTTAATTTTTGCTTTCATCCGAATACATTTTTTTTACAGTGAAATGCCATTAAGGTAACAGTAGTTTTACTTGAGTATACTATTCTAGTACTCTTTCCATCCCTGGTGGAGTGTCACAGCAGATGAGTTGAAATAATTAGGACCTATTTTACATTTCCAGAAGATAGATATACCTGAATCTGATAGAGAGCAACATTTTCTTTCATGTGGCCACCTGGCCAAATATTCACGCTCTTTTAGCTCTGTTTTTGGTCTCTATCAACTCCTGGGGGGGGGGGAAAGCTGCTCTGCAATATGTTCAGTAACTAGTCTCCAACTGTTTCTGTCTGCGGTTTGCTGT